GGCTGCAGAGCAGGAGGTCAGACTTGATGACCATGACGGTCCGTTCTGATCTTAAAGTCTATGAGTATAAAATAAATCTCTTGAAATTCCTAATTTACCAAATTAAAGCAATCACTGAATAATATACATCATAACCACTTTACCACACATTTTCCTCTTTCTTTTGATATGGAAGAGTTTGGTGAAACCATATATCCCTTATGACACTTGTTTTCCTCAGTGTGAAACTTAAATCTCAATATTGCCAAAGGGCCAAATTGCGATACCCTACCATTGCATAGCACCTTGCTACACATGAACAGTCCCATTGAAGTCACTTAGACTTCATACTACTTATGGAGTAGAGAGCTACTCATTGTGTGTAAGGTATCAGTATTTGGCCAAAATGTCTTTTGTGAGAGGTGTGAATGTTTTGTATATCTCATGTACATGAATAGGGTTCTATTTGTCTGCCAATTTATCAGATGCATTTGTTCAAAGGTAAATAAAGGTGTAAAAGTAGGAAATATGAATGGAAAATTAAACAACATTTTATCAAATTCTGCTCACTAAAAAACTGCTTACCTTATTTTTGCAGACACAGGTTAAACATACTATTTAGCTAAACTCTTCAGAAAGTTAAGTGACACTTGAGAATTACAGTATAGTCCAGTTCAAAGAAAGCGATGGAAAGAAACTTTCTTACATAAAGTGCAATTCTCTATATAAACTTCCTTCTTGTTTCTCTATGTACCACTTCCATTTATATTGCTATTCTACTTCGACATAAAAGCAGTCACCTTGTAACCCTTTTTATCAAGTAATCTATGCACTACCTAAAACTACACTACACTGCATCAGGCAAGCTATAGGTTTACATTATACAAACATTCCAATTCTGCCAGCTCAGCACTGGTTGTCAATAAATGCAAGCAATTGCAAAACAGCAGTGTGTTTTTTTTTTCCTTAAGAGAACACTGATATCAGTCTGCCAGTTTTGCAAAATAAACTCTTTGCAATCTCTGCAGCTAATCTGTCAACAAATTACTATTAAAGTCATACCTCCTAAAAGTTCAAAAGAATTCTGGATTAGACAAAAGATATGGAGCTTTAGACTCTTGGGGCAGTACTTGAAATTATGGTATCAAACTGGAACCGTCTATGGACGTAGAGAGGTTTGCATTTCTACCACCATGCAACAGAGCATTTCAGGTCTTGCTGGAATTCACCTTTATGTCCCATCCTTTTCACTCCATTCATATTTTTTATCTTTCTATGAATAAATTAATAACACTTTAATGTACAGTAACAAGTTACAATAAATTACACTGAACATTATATGGTTCTTCAGAATCAATGGGTCATATTCCCTATTGAGGTAAATCCGAGAAACTCCATTTAAGTAACTGGAGCTGCACCAATTCACACTAAAAGAAGATCTGCAGTCATTACTTTTGGTCGGCAAGAGCTGTTCTATTACAGCTCCCTTGAGGCATCATGACTCTTAAAAGCCCCTCGGTCATTAGACGTTCTTGTTGAACTCTTCAGGTTGTGATTTGTGTAAGCAACTGGATATTGCCAGAGTTCTCAGTTGCTCTGTCGAAGCCTCTCTGGCCTATTACAATGTTCTGTCTCACTCCTGTTGTCTGTTTAGGCAGCTGGGAGTTCCTCTGGGCTGCTCCAATGCTCTGCTTGAGTTGTCTATTTCAGCTCTACTTGTGGAGTCTGATGCTCTAGGTTACCTTGATGCTCTACCTGAGGTCTCACAGGCAGAAAACAGTCAACAAAAACAGTGTTTGAGAAAAGACCCAGTTCTGAAAGATGCTGAACATCTTCAACTCACACTGAACACAGGAGAAGCTGAGGAGGATAACTGCCTCTCTTAGGAGGCGCTAATATCTTGTGAGAATGTGTTCTTACTATGCTTTCTGTCCATTTCTGGTGCTGATTCTTCTCATCCCCTTCCATACAGCTCTCTAATTTTATCTCTCTTCGCATCTCCCCAGCTGCCATCTTCACAAAGGACCACCTTAGCTCTTCTAGATAGTATTTTACTCCACAAATATTGCCACTGACATTAATCGGGACTACTCATCTTGAGTAGGTATTACAGAACTAAGCCCCAAATTTGCTACTCAAAGGATGATTTAACATGTTACAAGAAATATTAGCACTAAGACCTATTTAGTTTTCCTCTGCACTATCTCCTGCAGTGGAATCAAACTAATGACAAAGACAGTATAGTACTTGTACTAGATTCATCCCTGTCCTGATTGCAAGAGTACCCACAATCCATTTCATTCCTCCAAAATGATGAATACCAGCATTACTTGATGTTTTGCTAGGATATAAGATTTACAAAAGTGAATGGATTTGTAAATTTGTTAAAACCTCCTGAATCAACCATTTTTTTTAAAAAAAGGTTTGTTTCCATAATTCAAAGAAACACATGTTGTCGATCCTTGAAAGTCACAATCTTAATAAAAGAGTTCAAATTCTAAAATCTGAGTAAGTGCTTTATCCAAAAGCACTGGATGGCAGCATCTCACGCTTGACCATTGCTCATCATGGGAATGCAGTTAACCAGCAAACCGCAGAGGAGCCAAGCACTCAATCTACTCTCTGCTTATTTTTCAGAAAACACAAATGCCAGGTGGCATAAAGAAACACTTAGACTGAAATGCTCTTAAGAAATAGCTGTTTTATTTAAATAACCATTCATTTGTATTGAAGCAGCGTTATCTAGCACGCATTCTGTCAAGTGACCTGAGAGCATATGTTGTATATGGAGAAACATCTAAACATTATGCTCTGTGTTGTATGCGTATCTGTAAATGCTTGCATTAGCAGTCTGAAAACATTTTTCTTTCCGGCATTTAAAACTATTTTCAAAACACAATGATTGATACATTATTACACTAGTTTTGACAGTCCCTTAGATATTGCATTCTTTTTTAAAGAGGTGTTATAAACGAAGCAAACGGCTCACTTTTTAAAAAGAAAACTCAATAGAAAAGAGACTCATCAAAACAAATTAACAGTAGAATTAAAACACAAAACAAGAAGGCCTTTGCAAACCTAGAGGAGAGCATGTTAATCAAAAGCTATTATATTACTGGCAAAAGAGATACAGGCAAAGGGTAAAAACTAAGTACAAATGAGAATCCTACAAAATCTGCACCATAAAGAAATTCTCCCCCAATCAATTTCTATCTTTAACTCCCAGGTCTGGTAGGGCCTGGGAGCATGATGGAGGAAGCACATCCAGCTGTTCTGGGCATCGTTTGGGAGTGGGCTGGAGGACCCCACAGAATTCTTTTTGGAATGCATCAGTCTCTCTCCTTAATTGACCAAATGGGTGGCTGTTGAATGATACAGAACATTACATACAAGATTAAGTTGTTACCTCACTCAACAGCGATCCTTCTGGTTGATTAAGGAGAGGCACTGACAAATGCTCAAGGGTGATAGCTTCAGTGTAGATTAATAATTGGTGATAAGGAAGAAACATCCCAGTTGTGTATTTCTGGTCTACCAAATGCTATATTTGGGTGATTTATTTTTTCATGCATCACTAAACAAAGTGGGTGGGGTGAACACGGGACTGAAAAATTCCATAGTGTTCAAATCAAAGAAGTGTAATTAATTCATTTGGATATGAAGCCTTTTTAAGAGCAGACCTTGGTGCTGAATGTACTTCTAACGTATTTTATAGTTCTAATTCTCTTCTACTGTCCTATATTAATCAAAGCCGTAACCCCTGTTGTCTTTGCACTACGAATCAGAATGTGCCCCTGGCGAAGAATGAGGGAAAAATCAACAGGAATTAAGTTTCAGTGCAACTGTTTACTCAACTATGGCCTGCAGTTATTGAAATTTTATCCGTGGTTTTGTGTGACTACTGCAGTAATGAATTCAGCATGGCTGTGACTTTCTCACTGATGGTATTCTCACTTCAAGTAAAAACCTGTAGAATGAAAATGATTCAAACAACCAAAGTCTATTGCATTTAGTATCATACATTTCTCTGATCTGCTTAATCTGAAGCTTTCTGTCTTACACTGGCAAACCTGGCTACTTGTTACTTTTTAAGCCTTCGGTTTTGCCTTGTTTTCAACTGCAGGTTTTTCTTCACCACAACAACCTGCTGAAATGATACTGCGCACTTAAGAGAGACTTGCACAGGCGCCAAAAGCTTATTTAAAAGGTTTTAAGAATGTTTACTGCATTACAGCTAGTACGGTTTAAGCATAAACACATTCACTAGACTGTTGTAGCACAGCCTTTGTTCCAAAAATGTGTTAATGATACAGGCTAAGCAGTTTGCTATAAGTCTTCCTCTAACCAGGGTTTCAAAATTTTATAAAGGGAGCAAAAAAAAAAAAAAAAAAAAGACAACATGTTATATGGCTAATCTACTAACAATAACACTGATGAACTCAATCGCTTCTGTCTAAAATGTAATAATTAACATACATAGGGAACACATGAATACATAATTTTGCTCTGGATGATTCTGTCGTAAAAACAGGACTGATGTGATGATTTCATTTTATTTAATTTTTTAGTTTCATTGCAGTAGGAACCTCGACAAACCATCTAGCTAACAGAAAAGACTCTGTTGATAGAGGATGCTAGGTTATATTAAAATTTGTTGCAAAAACAAAACTCAGAATTAGTGATTCTTCCAACCAGTGACATATTTTGGAAACTAGCATACAGTGGTTCACCCAGGCACAGCGACCAGGCTCTACACATTTAGACAACAGAAATGGACTGTGATCTTTGGATCTTTCCAATGAGTTCAGGAGAAAGGGCACTCATTGGAAAGAGAAGAGAAGTGCAAATTTTCCTTTACATTATGATTGCATTTATCTAAATATTACAGGGTATATCTCATTACACATGTATGAAGGCCCTCCTAACCATTTATTTGACTGGCAAATATCGAGGGTTTAAGAGCTAAATACTTTTTTTTCCCCCCCTTTAGGAAGTGAAGTTGTAAATATATCGTACAGTACCTGCTGTTGCTGAAGATGTGCTAAATCTGCAGCCCCAATTTCAACTGAAGGTGTCTCACCGTTGGATCTCACTTCCCGCAGACTGCACTCTAGTAAATGGTTGCCACTGCTTGCTCCATTCTGAATAGCTGAACCGTTACTTTTTGTCTCAATCCCAGATTCTTGCATCATGACTCAAAAACCTGAAATAATTTAGGAGAGGAGAAAAAAAAAAAGCAGCTGTTAAAACAGTTGCTGTATATAAGGAGACATGCCCTGTTTTAAATCCTGTCAAAGCTATAAACATGTGTCATTTCCCTTCATACAATTTATCTTTCATTAATGGTTCATGTTACCAGTTTATTTCTAAATATAGCATTATTTGCTCAACACTTACCCTTACAGAAAAAAATATTTTTCAAACGAACACACAAAATCAGTAATTACAATTTTCTAATTACATCTGTATATTTTACTTCAAAACTGACAAGTCATTCTGTGTAACATGTTATGGGCAACAACAAAACCTTGATACATAGTGGACAGATGCAGAAAGCTGAATTGGACCATTGAGTATTCAGATTTCCATTCACACCAGGATTCTGTCAAATTAGCAACTTTCATTACTATGAACTACCCAGAGATATTTCAGGTATCTGCAAGGTGCCGAGCAACCTCTGAAATGTGCCTAGCGCCATCAATTTTCCCTGAAGCAAATTCTTTTCTTCCAGGATTCATTCAGCCGCTCACAGGATTCTGGGCCCTTTGAGTAAATCTCCTAGTTACTGTTATCCATCTGACTTAATATACACCTTAGTGATACTACTTTACAACTAGAATTAGCTGAAGTATTTGCAACAAACAATGTATCTGAACAATACTGGCCCTTATTTGTGAAGCAGTCGTAGAAATCATGACCCCTTTGTGAACACATTAACTATTTGTAGATATCTGTCAAGTAGTTTACATGAACACAAATTTTAGTCCACGGGCTGTTCACAAACCATTCACTGACTTTGATCATTTGCAATACATTATCATGGTGTCTGACCGATCATCTAAGTTAAAGATATAAGTTCTCCTCTTTAAATGGATGACAATTTTTTTCTTTTAATCTGGAGACTAATGAATAGCAAATAACATTCTTCAGTGATGAATTACTGGACAACTCATTGTTTATGCTAAAATTCCTGAAAGTTCTGGGATTCTTGAAAGTTTCCATGAACAAAGAGGTTGTGGTGAGAACTCTGAAACTTGGGAACAATGTGACTCCAAAAATAATACTGAAGTGAAGTTGCCATATTTATTTGTGAAACTATTCTCGATTATCTTTTTGTGCAATTTGACTGGCTCTATTATAGGTATTTCAACCCACTAGCCCCAATGTTAAAGGATTAAAATGCCATTAGTTTTGTCTGTTTCCGTTGTCTCATCCTTCCTTCCTTATGGTTCCTCATTCCTCTTTTTATTGCCCAGAATCACTTGCCCATGGTGACACGAGCTACTCGCCAGGAAAGACAGACACACAGTAAATGTTTCATAGCAGTGCTTGGCAATACGGACCATTAGTAGCTAGAGGTAGTATGTTCTTGGTCATATATACAACAGAATTAGGAAAACAGGATGCTTTCCCAACAGAGACTTTCCCCAAAGGCATCAGTAAGGAAAGCTTGCCTGTCTCCATCTGAATTTCAATGAGCAGCCCAGAAAAGCAGATCTTTTGTTTTCAACTGCTCTCCACTGGCAATAAAAGGCCCATATTTAAGGAGAAACCTGTTTAAATTCAATAACTCTTAACCAGTTCAGAAACAGGAAGAAAAATTCCCCCTCCCAGCACATGTGGGAAAACATCAATCAAAAGAGGAGAGAGAAAGCAATGCATTTCTAATGGAAAAGTACTAGGGGAAAATACTTTCCCCAGAAAATCTGTACAGGCATAATTTTGAGCCCTGAGACATCTACTGTACGATATTTGTTGGAGACTGAAAGGTTTTTTCCTTCCAGTGCCAACTTCTTTGGGTTAGCTGCTCAGAGCAAGCAGCCCCTTTCACTAACAACATTTCAAGAGTAGCCCAACTGTCAAGCATTAAGTGACATGTAGCATCCAACTACGGTTATTGTTTAGCTCTGTGGGTTGCGCTACACTGCAGCCAAACAAACATATGCCACTCACTAATTTGGTAAATTTGGATATTCATAATGATGTTCCATAAAGCTAATAACCAAGATGTCCTATCTGGGAAGCAACTGACTAAAAAGGGCTTTGTCATATGCATGCTACAACATTAGCATTAGTTTCTGATTCACAATCAAGGCTGGGGAAACCAAACATAAGAAAGACCCCACTCCAGCCACTAAGGATCTATTCACCCTACATGCTATGCACCTCTTTCACATTTATGAAAGGTGGTAGAACAGATTCAAATGTTCTGCTTACATTTAAATAAATTTCATCTGGTCTATGGAAACTCGTTTCAATTCACTCTGTGGGATCTCTGAATCATGCAAAGAGACAAAAGGACTACAAGCTTCATTATACTGTTTCTGTCAGTTTCCTTGTAAAACTTCACAGATCTAAATTAACAAAAACCTTTCTGTATGTAACTAGACAATGCATTTTGTTCTTAAAATTGATCCAATTCTGATGTAGAGTACATGTTGTCTTTTGCTCTTTACACACGTTACATGAAGGAACCACACAGGCATGGTAATAGCCGTGTTTGCTAAACATATACAATGTGTCAGACCTAGCTCTCTCTATATATCTATCTATCTACCTATATAGATATATCCCTTGCAGCTCTAGCAGGGTTCTGGTGGCTTCTGAAACACAGATGACATCAATGGACTCAATATATTTAAAGTAATATTACTCAATTCCTACACACTACTGTAAAAAAGGCACAGCTCCTTTAACCAGAGGGGAATAAACTAAAAACCCTTAACCTTTCTCTCTTCATCTATACTTAGGGCCAGATTCTCAACTGGAATAAAGGAAGGCTTATGTCAATTTACATCACCTGATGATCTGGTCAAACATGAAGAGTTATCATTTGATTAGTTTTTTAAACTCATCTCTTTGAAACACACAGTCCCTGGGGGAAAGATGGCAGCACCTTTGGCCTAGGACACAGGTGTCAATTGCTATGAAGTTTTTATGGCAGCCCGAAAAAGCTGTAAGTGTCCTAGGAAGGGTGCTCATTTCTGACAGCGCTAAAGAACTGACCGTATGTGCCTCCAGCTGATACCACACCAGTTGAAACAAAAGTGAAAAAAGAAATTGTACCTGAACGGTGAAAAAAGACATCCCGTTCCCAAGCTCTTTTGGTAGATAACGAACAAGTTATCTTGGAGCAGACACATAGGGAAACTATTAAGAACACTGGTGATGTCAAAACATATGTTAGAAAAAAACACTGCCCAAAGGTACCAAAAGCCTTGAGGAGACTGGCATCACTGAGGAGCAGATCAATCAATGCATAATCACTAGGTCTCAGGAAATAATTCATAAGAAAATTAGTCAAAAAATTATTGATTGCATCTCAGGTTACAAAATCCTCCCAGAACAGAAGGAAATGTTGAAAATGTTGCAATTTTTCTCAATGAATTTATTTTCCCAAAAAAAGAAGACTACTGAGTTTTCTGAGAACTTTTTTCATTGCAAATGTTTGTACTCTTATTTTACATTTCAAAATACAGTAGCATGCATGAGTTCTGGCTATGCCTACCTCCTGTGGTCAGGAGAGAATGAGCAGAAGCCATTGCGCATAAGGATTTGGAAATGGATTTTGCAAACTGATCCTCAACAAAGGAAAAAAGAAGACCGGACTAGTTTGGGCCCTACAAATTTAATAGAAAACATAATTCTGCAGACTCAGAACTCTTTAAAAAACAACTCTGTAACATCAAATAAATGAAAATGGTGAAAACCTCTGTGCAAATTATGTCTAAAACTTGCTCACTTTTTGTCTACCAGCTCAAAATGTAACCCTGGCTGGACAACAGTGCAAAGACAAACACACATTGCCAAAACTCCTCCTCCAGATAAGATGTGTGTAGGGGCACAGAAGATAAAACACTTTGTTCCTTAGCTACAGTCAGCATGTGACTTGATGTAAATAATCACAATACACTGCAATCATTAGGAGTCACAGCAGGGGAGCGCAGGCTAATTGAGCCCCTCCCACATAGTGGATATTATTGGTCTTTTTGAGCATGCCCAAATAAATCAGCCTTCGAGCAGGGGGTTGGACTAGATGACCTTCAGGGGTCCCTTCCAACCCTGATATTCTATGATTCTATGATTCTATGTTCCCCTGAGGGTGGGTGAGACAATCTTTTATAGATGGGCACGGAAGAAGCGCGACTTCTTGTTCCAGGCTATTGAGAATGTTGTTTGTTGCCAAAGCCTATCATTTATATTGGAAGGAAGGAGCCCAAGCAAGGTTTGTAGCATGAATTAGGATTATACCATGTGGGAGATGGGCTGTTGCTCCTTTATGTCCAGTATCACAAAAAGCAAACTTTGTACTAAATACAACCCTAATTAATCAAACGATAGCAAATAAGTTTGGTCAGGAGAGTGATGCTTTATGAAAACAAGCAATTTCTATCATTTCTATGTTCATTTTTATGCACAAGGATAAATTAAACACAGTTCCATGCATAAAGCTGCATGGTATGCAAAATATTATTTTCTAAGTGAATACATTTAATGGCGTAGGAAGAAGTCTCACGAAAGTACAAAGCAAAGTAGTGCTGGAACAGAGAGCACACTTTTGTAGCACAGGATAGGCTGTCCGCTCACAGGTTTTATTTATTCAATTTGTTTTTTTTTCTTTTAATTTTGCACCACATTTCAGGGCGGAGCTTTTGAAAATTCCACTCGATGCCTATCTGCATCTTTTGGTGCCTAAACACCATGACAAATCTGGCCTTGGGTGCCCAGCTGCCCGTTGTGCCTTTGAAATTCTCCCTCTGAATGCTTCCAGCATCAGTCTAGGCCACATACCCTGAACCCAACCTGTGCATCTAAGAGCTTTTCACAAAACTCATTTTATTTTGGCTATTGTTATGTGGAGGTTTTAACAAATATATAACTACTGTAGCAGTGCAAATATACAACATTTCCCTCCCCTGGCAACAGCATTAGTGCAACAAATTTTACAATAAAGCCCTTCCTTTTCACACTTGTAAAGATTTT